TGGAGTATGAGATGTATATGCGAGGTTCCCAATATATATTCTACTATTAGGTATTTGTAGGAGTAGAAAATTGGTTGAAAATTACGTCTAAATGAGTTTCCAAAAGAATTCCAATCGAATAAGTTTGTCTGTACACAACAGTCAGTTGGCCATAATTTTCATTCCCAATATCTGATTGAGGCAATTTAAAGTGCGTTAGAAAGCTAACTCAAATGGCTATAACTTTTATAGAATGACAATTTTTCCAATTCGGACGTTTACTATCCGATATCTGATTGAGGCAATTTAAAGTGTGTTGGAATATAACTTGTGCGATTGGAAATTGATTTTGATCATATTTCATTCCTTTTTGAATTCTAATTCCATCCAATTGTCTTCTAGAAATCTTCAAAGTATCATCTTGTGTCCTAGTCAACTATTGAATAATTACAATTTGGTGCTCAAACTTTGAATTTCACCATTTTCACCATTTTTTGCTTCTTTTTGTCAATTTCTCATTCAACCATTGAGTTTTTCCTATATAACGTAAAATACAACAATTTATAATATATTTTGTCCGAAGAACTATCAAATATCGTTATTTTATATCGCGAATAAGTGTATAAAATACACTTATCAATATATTATCATCAGTTTGCAAGGAGATCTACAATTATCAGAGAAGATGTTGAACAATCATTGTTGGGGTTTGTGAGACGAAGATTAATAATAGCTTGGAATTCTTTTCTTAGTTCATTGTAATTGAAGCCGTTGATGTTGTCAATATTTTATATGTTTAATTTTGCAATTATGAGCAGCTAGATAAATTAAGATGAACGATAACCTTATATTTTAATGTTTATTTAATTCAAAAGACTTCATGCAATTTTAATTTATGTGCTAATTGCTTATTGTGTATTTAATGAAATTCAATTGCTTGATCACCAAATTGATGAATTTAGGGATAACAACGAAATTGAGAGTTTATGTATTAATGTAGCTCGTGCAATAAGTTGTTGGAAAATGGTTTTACTACT